TTTTTGTAAAAAGATAACAATGTTAGCCTTTTCTGCAGCTATGGGGCATATATGGTATCACTCTTGGCTGGAAGCAGTGCTTAAACAATGGAAAAAATACAAACTTTGTCCAAAAACCTCTCATGTTTAACTGTTTTCCACTTTTTATTTGGTCATTTTAGCCTTTTTGGCCAGGGTGAAGGAGTATCTGCCATCAAACAAGAAGACAGCCGCATGTAACTACGACGTGTTTGCTAGTTCACCTTACGTGCATTAATGTAATAACGTGGTTAGCCTACTCAACGTAAATTACACACGAACAACATTAAGCTACTCACACAGAGAAGAACGGCTGCCATCAAATACGGCGCATTTCTCGGCTTTTAAAAAACGCTATGCGTCGCCAGGTGTTTCATTGGATTCGAGGCGTTACCTCCTTTGACAGAATCACAGTATCAGCTTAAAGCACTTGTTGCAGGCTGCTGAGTTTGCATATTTTACTGTGAAGTACAGCCAGACTTTTGACCGCTTCGCCTTGGGCATTTTTAATCTGTAGCTCTGCATAAAAGAACGTACGTACCTGGACCCGCCTACTATCCTCGGAAACGTAAAATGATTGGCTAGAAGTGTATCACAGCTCAGGGAAAAAAAGCACCGAAATAAAGCACCGAAATGTGCACTGCTTTTCGGTCTGGTTACTACCGTTTATGTCAGAACCGGTGCCATGATGGCACCGGACACCGGTACCCATCCTAGTCCTGGGTCATTGACCCGGTGTTTTGTGTTATTTGTGCCTCCCTTATGTTTGGTCTCTATGTTTCTTAGTTGCTCTGTCTCCCCTGTCAGCTGTATCACCTATTCAAGTCTGCATCTCAGTGTTACGTTTCCTGTTTTACTTTGAAGTTCTGTGTCCTACGTGAATGTATTGAGTTTTGCTTCCCTTTGGTCTCGTCATGTCTGATTTCTCCCAGCTGTGCACTCCTTCTGTGTCTCATTCCCCTCGTTATTCCCCAGTGTATTTAAGCCCTGTGTTTCTCTGAGTCAGTTAGTTAGTTTATATTTTTCATTTTACTTTGGTCCTGTATCATTTCCATGTCAGCAATAAAGCTGCATTTTGAGTTTTTCCCGTGTGTTACGAGTTCTCCATTTTGGGTCCTCTTCCTGCCTGTACACAGCCGAATCATGACAGTAGTGACAGCCCACTTTTATAATTTGATTATTTTTTTAATTTATTATTTTACTAATAGAAACATGTGTGTCCTCAATCACAGCGACCTTCATAATATTTTGGAACAGAGATACATTTTTTCCCTTTTTCTACCCTGTACTCAAGATTAAAAAAATATATGTAATTTAGCAACTGACATGCAATAATAAATGTGCAGATTGCAGACTTTTTAGGTATTAGCTGTTTACATTTTGCAGAAATTACAGAAGTAGTGTATACCTTAATGTTAGAGCACGCCAATGTGTCAAACACAGCGATGATATTTATATCAAGGTATTCATGTTCATAACTTTTAATTAAATGACTACTTGTTGTCTTTAAATGTGATTTTCTCCAGTTTTCATTTTTAAGGAACTCCTCTGTTGGTGTGGCTGTGTGCTTGTGAACACTGATATTCCAAACAGTTAGTTTGGTGGATTTATTCCAATCTTTAGATTCGAAATAGCTTATTTGGCAACTAAAGACTCCAAAGGTCATGAGAAATTATTAATTCAAAATTTTTCAGATGATAAAGAAAATCAGAACTACCCAGGAAACCAAAAATACCTAATCTATAGTCATGTGAACTGTGGAGCACAGAAACAAATCTCTTATTTGTACCAAACAATATTCCACAGATCTGCACATAAAGAAACTAAAGAAGAGTATAAATCATTCAAAGACAGGTACTGTACAGAAACATCGATTTAACAGTGCTCTGTATGTTGCTCCAGACACTGCCATCTGTTCATTTTTTCAACATTATCTATTACTATTACCAGAGTGGCAGGAGAGATTGATCTTGCACTAAAGACGGGGAAATCTGAAAACATGAACAACCCAGTGAATGAAACCAGACTGAAAGAGATGTATGAAGAGCTGAGGAAGGACTGGGCTAAAATCAAGACTTATCTGCAGGCAGATCAGAACAACCCAGAGGAAATCAAAGCTTCGATTCAGGTGCATTTTACAGTCTGAAGAGGTGAGATTAGAGTGTGGTATGAACTGTATTCTTATAAAAATATATATTTTTATTCACTCTGACAATTATAGCACAGATTTCAATGTGGAGCAGGGGAAACAAAGCAGAAGAAGGAACTGATACAGAGAGCATTTACCCTAAATGAGGACACTCAAGCGTCTCGGAAGGTACTGATGTGTTTTGTATGTGTTAAACATGATCACTGAAGCTTCAATTCAATCCAATTCAATTTTATTTATATAGTGCCAAACCACAACAAAAGTCACCTCAAGGATCTTCTGTGATAAAGATCAATGACAGGTTTCATTATTTGTTTCAGGTTCATGAATACACAAAGTTAACCATTCAGAACCTTCAGCTTGCTGTTTACTATGGTTTCAAAGACACTGCTGGTCAGGTTTGTTGGAATTACAGACACAACATTACAGACATTGTAAATACATAACACTGCACGTTTGTGGGACAGGCAACCAATTGCAAGATGTTTTTTATTTTTTATGTTGTTTGTAGTCATGTAAACTTGAATAATTTCTCAATGGCAGGGGTTCCGCGGACAGGAAGGTCAAACTCATGATGATAGCAAGAATAAGCTCCTCTTGAAGTGCTTCTGGCTGAGTGGCTTGTTGGTGCTGAACGATCCCCCTCTTCAGCCTGACTGGAAAAATCATCATCCCGGGCAAGATGCTTGGAACATTTTCCCACAAGAGATCACAGCTGATTCTGCCATTGCACTCTGCCAGGGCCACTCTGCAAAGGTCCTTAATGTCATTGGACATACCAGGACCCAGACTTGAACCAGACTGAAGATCTCTAGAAAGTACAAGTAAGAGAACTACAATTTAGTTTGTGAAATAAAATGAGCAATGTGTTTTTAATATATCCTTGAGAGATCAAAAAGACAAGAGCTGCACTACTTTTGGGTTTTTAATGACAACATAGAGCGTTATCCAAGAGGCTTCTTCAGTTTTAGAGTAATTGATAGAGAATTCCAGATGATTTAAAAAAACAAACAAAAAAAAACATATTGGAGGTGGTCCTGAGGATCGCTGGCCCACTTTTGATGATACAAGTCATCAGATCAACCAAGGTGTGTATAAATTCACTGGGGCCAAGATGTAAAACATTACTAAGACATCACCCCACCCTAGTGAGTTCTTGAGGTTACATAAGGCAAGGGGTGAGTGGAGGTTGAAACATCCTGGTAGGATCTCAACACTGCACTGTCTGCGACTGCTAGGTCCCTGAACAGAGTAAAGTTCTACAGAATCTCACCACTTTACACTTTAAAATCAGTTTAGCATATTACATTCTGCAGCATCCAAGTTCAAGTCATACTGTAACATTTTTATGTTACAGTATTATGTATTTTTACAGTATTTCTATGTCTCTAGCAACTCTGTTACTGTTAGTTACTTAGTTATGCTGCAATAGATGTAGGCTGCAGGGGGATTCCAATGATGCATTGAGTATTTTATTTTTCATTCACCTTTCTCACTCACTATGTTTTAATGGACCTCTCTGCATTGAATTGTACTTGTTATTAATCTCTGTCTCTCTTCCACAGCATGTCTTCTATCACGTCTTCCTTCTCTCATCCCAACCAGTCGCAGATGGCCACCCCTCTCTGAGCCTGATTCTGCCGGAGGTTTCTTCCTGTTAAAGGAGAGTTTTTTTCCCCTTTCCACTGTCACCAAAATCATTGCTCATATGGGGTCATATGATTGTTGGATTTTTCTCTGTATGTATTATTGCAAGGTCTACCTTACAATATAAAGCACCTTTGAGCAACTGTTGTTGTGATTTAGTGCTGTATAAATAAAAGTGAATTGAACATAAACACCTGTCTCCTCTGCCTTCCCAACACCACCCCATTAGCTCTCAACACCACCTCTCCACGGCAGCAGGCCAGAGACCACACCCCTGCCACAATTTCAAAAAATGTTTTCCCTCAAAATGAATCCTGGCTATTAACACATATTTGTGCTAAAATACACACTGTACTTTCAAAGATATATATGTGGTATTAAAATACGCCAAATGTTTTCCTTTTAAGCACATTTTATATAAAAACCTATTTACCAGAAGGCCGCTAGCGCAAGACTCTTCACTAGTACCACTCACCTCTGCCCTTTAATTGTTTCCCATTCAGTAAAACCTTTCTCCTGTGTTTAAAGTTTGTTTCGTTGCCCTCGGGCCTCCCTGAGTTCCTGCGAATAATTTCTGTTAGACCCAGTCTTGCTTAAGTTCCTTTTCCTTTCATTATATTGTACATAGTTCGAGCAATTGGTTCTGCTCTTGAGTCCACTGCAGCCTCGTTTGTGACAACTTCTTAACATTTGTGTTTTACCAGTGAAGATAAAAAGCATAAATGATTATTCTACAGTTCTTTTTTTTTTTTAAAGATCATACAGGTATGCTTCATATCGACAGTTTACCTGGTTTATGTATGGCTGGCTAGGGAGAAGAGTACCTAGAGGCATCCCATCATGTGCAGTGAACAAAATAAGGACAGCCTAACCAGAACCAAGTGACATATATACAGGATTTCAACATGCAGCTACTGATCATGTAGAGATAGATAAGGTGTGGAGCGATGTAGTTTATTGTCTTGTTCTACCACCCACATTATGTTATTAATAGCTTGACAAGATTTAATAACATTCCAAATGTTTTATGATAAGAACATAGTATACTTATTCATATGAACACTGGCAATGCTACAGTAAAAATGTTGGTGAAGTGCACAGCATAACTGAAATCACTGTAGCACAATTTTACAATCTCATCAAATTAGCAGAACCTATCACCCTCATATCAAAATTTGACCTTTTGTAGCCATCGACCACCTGCCTGGTATAGTTTGTTTATACATGTTATGTCACTGTTGTGTGTAAAACAAAGTAAATATTAGTGGCATTTGAACTTAAGTTGAGTATACATCTTTTTATTTGTAATGATGCAGCTACTTGAAACGTGAAAACTGTTGTGTTTGAAAAATAAGTTGTGATCTGCGTAGTCTTTCTTGTGGAGCCATAACATGTGTCAGGTTCACTCTCATGTCCATGTCTCAGGTTGAATCCAACACAGCAGAGATAACATCTGCCATCATAGCTGCCATGTAGTGATAGTCTTTTCCAACAGTCACTGGTCTGGCTCTGAATATCTTGTGGACTTTGCTCCATGAAAGTTTGAATTTGGGTTCGCCAACACTTTCCCCATTTTGATAAACAACCTGTTCAAAAACATAAATATGAAAATAAATATGTGATACAAAATTCCCAGCATAACATATGGGTGACCGATAAGGCAAAATATAATATCACAATTTTAATATCACGATTTTGTTTTCATCCACATTTTAGTTGAGTTTGTACTTTTGCCATACACAGAAGATTACTGATATCAATGTCTTCTGTCTTATTTATTTTATCTTTTTTTTTATTAATATTAACACTGGCATTGTTTCAGTAAAAATGACAGAGAAGAGCAGAGCACAAAAAATTCACTGTAGCACAATTCAGACATCTTCACAGATTAGCAGATTGTGATAACGTCATATCTCAATTTGATTATTTTATTGTCATAGTGCCCACCCCAAGCATAACATGTTTTACAACCTTAAGAAAATTATCATTGTTTATGTTGGGTCTGCGCTTCCACAGGTCCCGATGGTTTAGAAACTTATTAACTTATTAACTGTTAACAAAACCAGGAAGTAAGACAATCAGCGATCAATCGATTTTACTTGCGCAAGGGAAGCCTCGGTCAGAGTCTCAGAAAAGCACTCTGAATCCAACTGCAAATGACCTCAACTTGGGCCTCTGCTTCCAGCCTTTTATTAAAAATAGTTACAGTACACACAAGCACCACCCATTGTAAAACACTCTATGGTTCTAAAAGATAAGGCACTATATGTGTGTATGCATGTGCAAGAATGTGTGTGTGTATACATGTGAGTGTGTGTGTTTGTGTTTGGGGGTGCGTTTGTGTGAAATCCTGCTTACCAAAAGGGTCATAAAAGCAGGAAGCTTACTAAACAAGAAAACAGAACCCTCACATAGGATGTGTCCCATAATAAAACACTACAGCCTCCCCCACTGTTCAACAGGCTGGTGAGGTGGCCAGAAACAAAGGAATGTCTTTGATCATACAGTTTGAACTAAGACTTACAAATTTAAGTAACACAATGACAACATTTCACAATTTAACTCCAACAGTTCACATACCTGTTCCCTGTTTACATTGTTGTTATGATCCAGGGCAGCAAGCATGGAGCATGGTCAAATGCCTCTCTTAGGGAGGCATTTGACGTACATTGAGTGATATACCTGAAACAAATTTGAAATCAAGAATATCAGTTATATCTGGCCAATATAAGATTAGCGACTATGTAAGTGAAATAAAGTAAATGTTTGTTATACCTCTAGTGTTGTTGTGCAAATGCACTTTGTCAGGTGATCCAGGTCTTTCAAAAGCCACTTGTCTGTCACAATTTTCACGAAGGCTTCAGATCCTGGCTTTATCCAGAGCTTTCATCTCTGGACTGTTTCATCACGAGGGTTATGGGCACATTGGTGATAATGTCTGTTCCCTGGCCAGTTAAGTAGGCTGAGACTACCAGCTGTAACTACAACTGTTAACACACGTGAGATCTAGAGTCAACTGTGATCCTTCATTTTGAGGCTCTTTGATTTCTTTTTGTACAATCGGGGAGCCACACTTTATACAGCGCTTAAGTAATTGTTTTAACTGTTGCCAATAAACTAAAAAAAAGTCTTGTGTTTGTATGTATTTGAAGTCTGAGATTCGAGAGTGCTTTCAGACAAATCAGAAGAACTTACAATGAATTCAGGGTCATACTGTCTGCACACTGACTTTGGTTCACTAGCTTAATCATATGATAGGAACAAATACATGGAGTTACCATCATGTCTGTGAAGGTTCTCAGTCATCCAGGTCATCGTAGTCAAAGGACCTTGCAAAGAAAAGGGCATCTGTGGAGGGCATTTCACCATAGATGCCCTCCAGATCAAGATCACCCAGACCCTGCAGGAACTGGAAATCCTTCTACCCTCTCCAATCTTAGAAGAGGTTTACAAGTTTGTGGACAAGGCTCAGCGGG